CGATAGTGAGGCGGTTGTGGGCTTTGGGAATGCTGTCAAGAAATGTAGCGGAAGCGAAAGGAAGGGATCGCATCATATCATCAACACCAAGCATAGCTGTCAACGGTACGCCGAAAGAAAAACACATACAAATTGTTTGACTCGACTCTGTCGTGTGTGTGTTGCATTGGTTGTATACTATCCGGTGGCACCCATTGGCAAGCAAGCGAAGGGAAGAGATAGAAGAGAGATTTGAATGAGAGAATTTTGAGTTTTTGTTGTTCTCAATCAGATCAGCTTGTGCCGACCATTGACAAGAAAGCGACCCCACCAGTTTTGACGTGAGCGGCAACTCAACGTAACCATCATACTCGTGCTAGTCGTTAACCTGCGGAGTCTGTTGTAGCAATGAACCGCAACAACAACATCAATAGCAACAACGAGACAAGTGACAACAACCATCCGATGGACGACGCATTGTTGAGTGAAGACGAAGAACGCGAATTCCTGTATGATCTAGAGGGTCCGCCGACTGTCAGTACTTCTTGCGCAGAAGAGCTCTTTGACAGTGTCCTTCCTCCCTTGCACCACGTAACCATTCCCAACGCCAGCAGCCGACGTCGCGCTCATACGGTCGACACGGTCCAACAACAACGCCGCGCTTCCGAGAGTATCATCCACAACCAGAACCAGTTGTTGTTGGAAGATGGCCAAGACGACGACGATAGCACGCTCAGCGTCGATTTGGAAGAGCACAATGACACGTCCTTATTCCGTCGTCCGGATGAGACCGCCGCTCCTACGAGTCAACGAACGCTTCGCTTGACGCTATCGCAGGAGAGTCGGTTACAGCGCCGTCAAATGCTGGTCAATTCACGCTGTGTCCGAGGATTCCTCACACTCTTTGTCTATGGCATTTTGGTACTTCAACCCTCCTTGTTGACGGCCACGGCTCCGGATGCACTCGAACCGCTCGATACTCCAACGACACAGCCCATCAACAACTCTACATACAACAACAAGAAAAAGACGCTAGTCCCACTCGCCAATCTGCCCAAATTCCGACACAAACCACGGACTGCGGGTATGACCAAATACCACAAGACTAATAGCACCGCGGCACACCATACCACACCACCCCAAATTTACCACAAAAAGCAGCGGCCCATTCTCAGTGCAGCCCATTCCTATCAATTCCATCAGGAACCATTGGCGTTTGGCCGAGAGTTGAAAACTTCCTTTGTTGTTGACAGCAGCGACTATTCACGAGAAGCTCCGTCGCAATCCTTTTGGGGAACCAGTCTCGTTTGGTTGTCGCTATTGTGTCTTATTGTCGACACTTCCTACCGCGAGTGGCAGTATTACCGATGGCATCGGCGTCAGCCCTCCACTTCTTCTTCTTCTCGGCGACAGCATCATCGACGATCGCCCAGCCCAATTCCCGTGCGACGTCGACAACAGCAACGGCGGAGGCCGCAACAACGACCTCGATTTGATTCCTTCTAGCTAGCTAGCTACTATTTAGCGAAAAGAAAGAATGAAACTATGCATAATAATAACCACGAAGGTAGTTATAGTAAAACCTACATCCAATTCAAGCATATGCACATGTATCAATCATCCAAACGCTGCTCTATCAGGAATCGTTCGTGCCGTTGACCGCGCACTGCAGGGACGGACTAAAACACCAAGGTATAGAGTAGAGTAGTTCTACGAGGCAGCTGAGAAAGCCTTCATTGCTCTCTCGGGAACTGACAAGGGGCCGAGCTACTACATAAGACATCCACGATTTTCAGGCCTGTTCGTAACGTACCGGTTGTGCAGCCAACCGTCCAAGGACGTGGGATCATGAGAAGCGCCATGCATGGAGACCTCAGCGGCCGATTGCCCACCAGCTACCGCAGCTAGCTAGTAGATAGCTAGCTAGGAGCCATACTAGCTCAGTCAGAGGGAGCCGCAAAGCTGCCCACCCAGAAGGATTCGAGTCCTCCCCCGGGTCTCCAAAGAGAGTTTCCAGGAACTTGAACGAACCATCGAGCTACTGCCGGGCGGCCAGCTTGCTAGACGCCGCCTTTTTTCATAGGACCGGTAGCTTCATTGGAGCGAAGACAGCCACTCCTGCGCCCACTATCCTGGATTGTTCTTTCCAATCGAGCGGGCAAACCGAGCCATGCATGGAAGGGAACTGCAACGAGCATGTACCAGTACACAAGCAAGTCTTGCAAAAAGTTTCCACCACAAGTACTATCCGGAAGCATCACCAAGATCAAGTCATCAAGGTCGCGTCTTGCAAACGAGAAGAGGATACGGTAGCAGGGCAGCTACAGTCGTAGCTTGTGGTAGCCAGAAGTGCAAGGCGGTGATTTCTCTTGGAAAGCTAGCTGGCTAGCGGTCTTGGTGGCAACCGGATCTAGCTAGAGGATAGATAGATTTGGCTGGACGCGAAAGCAAAGCTGCTGTGGACTCAAAAGCAAGCTTGAAGCTCCTCAACTGCTGCATCTAACTTAAATTCATGTTCCAGTTTTGCTCTGACTACCGGTGTAGCTAGCTAGCATAGCAACTCTGTATTACATGCTCGTGACTCCTGATGGCTGGCTAAATCGTACCGCACCGTACCTGCTATGGTACCAATCCGGAGGACAACTCCTCATCGAGCGTTCCAGGATTGCTTTGGCTCCGCATCATTGTTTGCGGGTCCGCATTCCGCAAACGAGCAGCTTATTGGAACGAAGACCGCCCAGGTAGCATTGGCTAGTAAGCCGTCTGAGCGTTTTCTGCACCTGTGAAAACGTGAGCAGAACCGAGTCACAGTCGAGTCCTCGCTGTCAAAGCGTCCGCTTGCAAATAAATAATACATGTCAATCCAATTTGGCAGGGTGGTCTCTCCAGGTACTGTCACCCGTATCCAGAAGAGGACCAGATATAGGCCCGGGGTAGATCATCCCTCCAGATGTGGGGCCAGGAGCGGCGCTTCACGATGGACCGGGGGGGATGTTCCTGGAGTATCTCCTGGAGTAGGGGCGTGGAGCGAGATGGACCAGGAGGGGGTCCGACTCCTCGGTACCGGTTGGACCAGGACTTGGTCCTGTCTTTGGCTCAGGTGTAGAACCACGAGTGCCAGAAGATGATTCTGCTGCCTGGTGGTGGCCATGGTGTTGGCTGGAGCAGGAGGTGAACCTATTGTTGGTTCAGGATTGGGGCCCGCAGTTCGCCTCCGAGAGGCGGGATAGGGCAAAGGGTTGGTCCAGCAGGCAGTATCGTACCGTACGGTATTGTAGGACCTACTAATAAGTGGGGCCTGGAGTACCATACAAGCGTCGAACAGGTGCCTGTGGGGCTTTCCTCGCTGATTCTTCAATTTTCATACTCTCAAATGATGTTCTTCATGCAGACCCGTATCTCAATTGCCCTTGTGAAAGCTACCCATTTATGTCTCCGTGGATCCCGCAAAGCCAAACCCTTTGCCCCCCGTAATGGTCCTCAATTTCTTGCCCCTGATCCCACAGAACCTAGTCCTGAATTTCGACTGTTCTTTGCTTAAGCCTGGCCCCGGCTGGCTTCCGTAGCTAATTTCCCTACTCTAAAACCCCCTTATATTGTCACTCCTCACTCCACTCAAACAGCGAATCTTGATGGGCATGATTGAAGATTCGATAGTCATTCTAACTTTGGGTTCCCAACTTGAAGCTTTTCCCTAACACTCTGACTGACACTCTCACAGCTCTCCCATGTCCCATCTCATGTTTTTACAGCACACCGGAACCGGTACCGGTACAGCTTTATCCATTCGACAACAAATCGGTACATGTCAAAGATCATGTCAACATGTCTCCGTCTGTACTCCTTGGCTTCCTTGTCCGATACTCTCCGGAATGGTTGGTTCGGCAAGTTTCAGGTGGGAGCAAAGATGTGATGCAGGCTCACTTTGAACGAAAGGCACGGCTAGAAGCACGTCCTTCTTTTGTTGGCAAGAAGCGCCCGATTTTACCCTTCCCACACTCGAAGACGATAGCCAACAGATTTCGTTATCCAGTCAAAAAGGAAAGCCGGTTGGCTTAATTTTTGGATCCTACACTTGCCCCCTCTTCCATGCGCACGGTCATGACATTGAAAAAGTCCACCAAAAATACAAAGAGCAGGTAAACTTTTTGTTTGTGTATCCATCAGAAGCTCATCCCACGGAAGGATGGGCCATCAAGGCAAATGAAGGCAAGGACATTTGCTTTGCTCGGCCCAAGACAATGGACGAAAAGCGCCATTTGGCACAACTGACCAAGGATGGCTTCAATCTCGGCATGCCCATTCTTATGGATGGATTGGATGATCGAGTGGACGATTTGTACGGTGGCATGCCCGTGAGATTGTACGTCATTGACAAAGATGGCATTGTTCAATTTCAGGGGCCGGTAGGTCCTATTGGATTCAGTGTGGAAGCATGGGAAAAGACTATTCAAAGGCTTGTCACAGCAAGTGACCAGTAAAACTACATGTATGGTTGGTTTGATGCACCGGGAAAGACAGGTGTAAAGACAAAATTTGTTGTGTTGTTCAATGGGGCAAACCGAGAAGGCATGTACCAGTACTGTGCAAGCAATGCACATTTAGATACGACAAACTCGCTCACCGCTGCTACGGTAGGACTGCTAGGGTGCCGGTAGATAAAGGAGAGCAGTTTCCAATCAAATCTTACAAATTACGAGTGATTGCTGCGTTACGACACGCCAGCAATTTCAACACAACCGTCTTGCTAGTAGGCAAGACTAGTCTATTCTAGCCTATACCGGTATTGTCATCAACATGTTTCGATGTGGCGCATTTTGGGTCCACAGACTTGGCTGGGAACTCTTCAAATAGTCGTTTCTTCCTCCTCTGTGGTGTCATTTGTCTTTGTTTCTCGCATTCCAACGTCAGAAGACACGGATCCTCCATGGCTAGAGAGAGAGGCTCGCCATGTGGTGCTTGTTCCCGTGTCAGGTGAGAGCGACAGCCAAGCAGGAACTTGTTCCAAGAACACCACACGGCCCGTAGTGACAGGGTCGTTCATCTTGATACTATCTTCCCAGTCGTCGATCGTGGCCACGGTTGCAATCGTGTCGCGCTTGACGAGTGCCTTCATCAAGCGATCAAAACCATTGTCGTCACTGCTGCTTTCTTTGTCTACACCATAGCGACAGGTCGTCTCCTTGCGCACAATGGTTCCTTTCAAGTCAATTTCCATCCACGAGAAGGAAGGCGAGGATGATTCCGACATTGGATCGTGAAACAAAGCGCCGATGAGATAGTTGGGGCAAGCTGCCGTGTTGAAGACGACAGCAATGGAAGCGGCAGAGGAGTCCTTCTCAGTGAGACGAGTAGCTGTCGACGTCGTTAGTGAACCGTCCCCGGTGCGACTCCACCAGCGACAAAAGGCCAAGAATTGCGCGCGGCGGATTCTCGTCAAGTCTTCCGCCGTCAGTTGTTTCTTCTTTGGTGGTGCCTTCTTTTGTTTCTTCTTGGGGGGCTCTTCTTGTCCGGACACGGAGGTTCCAACGCCATCACGCACAGGTTGCTGTCGACCATTGCCAGTGTCGCGGCCGCTGTCGGAGACACCGATCGCGACTCTGCCGCTCGCACGATTGGTGGTCGGATCCAAAGGCGCTTCTCCAGCAGATGCCTTCATACGCGAGAGGTCGCTTCCCTTGCCATTGCTGCCGTGAATCAAAGAAGCGACGTTGAGATTGAACATGACCATATTGTCCTGCGGGGGCGCATACTTGGCTGTCGCTCGTGCTTGTACGCTCGTCTCTTCCATGGCCATCATCACGTTGACTGCATTCGCGCGCCAGGATTCTTCGTTTCGAGGCATACTGGTACCATCCAAGAGTCGTCCTCCTCCCATTTTTCACTTTCCTTCTTTCCTCTTCGTAGCTTCCTTTCGTATCCACCAACTTGGGACGTCGTCGTCTCTTTCTCTCTCTCTCTTCTTCTCTTCAACAATGTCCGATTTGTGCAAGTGGGTCTTGGAGAAAGATCGAATGGCGCGTTTTTTGAATTTGCTAACCCTGGCCCTAGCCCTACGGTACCGGAGCCGTACACCGTGTTTCCACGCTTATTGCGCAAAAGGAGCACTTCACCAACATGTACCGAACGCTATTGGGACGGTTCTTACCGTCAGCAGATCCAAGACCCAAGAACGATGGAGAAACAAGTTGGGAGGGATACAGAGCTACCGGTACAACTGCAATGGAGGTGCGTAGCTACCGGTACCGGTATTTAAAATACCTCGTACCGTTGGACGTGGAGGTTGGGGGTGCGAGAGATCAGCGCGAAAAGACTTGCTCGTCCACAATGTTCGAGGTGCGTTACTAGTACTAACTATCACTGTATCGGTAGCCAGTGGAATGCTGTTGGCTCCTTGTGAAAGTGACCTTTGCCAGCTTTCGGCTTCCGAATTCCAACGCTACTAGCAATGCCTGGTGTTATGGCAGGCTTCGCGAACTGGAAGTCTATTCCGCAAAGCAAACTATGTATCGGGCCTGAGTGCAGTCGTAATGGAGGTGCGGACGGTACTGTATTAATACCGACACTGTAATGGTACGGTACCGGTACCCCCGTTTGACATATGGTGCGTTAGAGGTGCGAAGAGAAACGAGCTGATTTTGGTGCCCTTTGGAATTGATCTTGGCCAAGACACCGACGGAGTCAACAAGGTTCGTTCAAGGTTGAGATATGGGATATGGGCACCTCGACTTGACTCGACCACCACTCGCTCGACGGACATGACTCGCAATGTTCAAGGTGCGTTGGTGTGCTGGACCTGGAAGAGCTCGGTTCGTTCATTCAGAGGTTTCCCATGCTAGCTCGCTCCTTGCGTCCGACACTCCACTGAGGCGAGGGCCGGTCGTCCTCACAAAAAGGCGACATCGGGCGTCTACGGGCATCGCAGCATGGCGGCCCAGATCGAAAGGCTACAGTAGTACCAGCATCATCGCTCTTCGACTACAGTTGCAACATTACCTATGGAATCAGCCAACACGAGAAACTGCTATGACATTGGAGAGGACTGGCTGGAAAGGGGAAACGCTTGAGGGGTTGATGCCAGGTCAAACGCCATGGTGCAGCCAAAGCCAAAGACCCACATGCTGGGCTTCATCGTACAGATTGCAAGGCCAGGATAAACGAGCCTATCATGATGTCTTCTGTCCAAGGATTTCCTTACCTTGGCTCAACAACCGCCCCAATGCTCAAGCATTACGTACGTAAAGTTGTTTGCCTCGAAACTACGTTTCACTTGTCATTTTTGTTGATGGTGAGGCAAGAGGCCGTGAGGCCTTGCTTCATCCGTTGGCAAAGGCATTTTCCGTGATCCCGCAAACCATTCCACGAAATCAACTCGAATAAGATGAGTCAGCGCCGACTTGAAGATCGTCAATTCCGGATCCAAACCGAGAAGTTAGAGTTCCTCTTCCTTTTTGAACGAGAATCTGACGCGAGACACTCGGATGGTAAGCGTTGGATGGGGAGTTTGCTGATGTTGGGACTTTGTCTTGTACACTTTTTCGATACTATCTTGACACCTCAACACATTTGTTGATGTGTCATTTGTTACGACAATGCGTCAAGTAAAATTTGTTAAATAAGTTTCTAAAAGTCATTTGGAGTAGCTCAAATCATTTAAAGTTCGTGACTAGGACAGGAATGGATCGGAGTTGTCGGAGGTGAAGTGAATTCTTCCCTAAGTAGATCGAACGTTAGATTCGGAATCGGGTGTCTCTCGTACTACGTGGTGCGAGGCCACGTATGCACATGTTGCAGGAAGCTTCTCGTCTCTTCTACGAAGATGCTTTGCCGTGCTTGGCACTTGGCATCGATCTTCTCATCTTCTCACCTCGCAAGTAATGATCTTGTTTGCCAGCCCAGAAGATTGTTGAACCTTGCTGATCCTTCTCTGCTCTCATTGACCTGGACATTGAAATTGACTCAGCAGTTCGTTCCATCACATCAATATCAACAACGTAGCTGAAGATGTGCATCTCTGTGGTTAATACCAACGAAAGTTTCGAGCCCCAACCCGCAGAAGAGCGGTTGGTCGGAGTAATGGCTGAATTCAACAGTGTCGAAGAGACACTGGACGGTAGCTCTCAGGGGAAGAAGAGGAAGATGTCCAAAACAGACTCACCGAATTCTTCAACCTTTGATGTAGCCACGCTAATTGATGCCATTCATCGTGAAGTGGAAGGCGACGACACTCTCCCGTCCGAGGAAGAGCCCAAGGTGGACGGCAGTCAGTGGCCCTCCTCCACTAGCTTGAAGTTCTACGATGACTTCGATTTCATTGACTTTGGTGATACGGCCGAGGAGCAAGTAGTTGTCTCGGCTCCTGAGCAGCCAAAGCTTGAAAAGCGAGGATCCCTTGGCAAGCGTAGTCGTGGTCTTGGAAGGTCGCAGACCATCAAGACCTGTCTCTGCCTCTTGGGAGAAGAGTCTTGATGATGCCCTTCTAGCTAACTATTCTGTCTGACCACTCGAGCCCAACAAGCATAAACAAGACAACGGGGAATACACTTATCATACATTTACATACACCGATACACCATTCATTTTTGAAACGCAGCACACACCACTCTCAAGCAAACCAAAATTCCCAGGGTCCAAGGCACTGAACAAACAAGCGAAGGAAGATCTCATGTAGTATACTATATCTCATGCCACTACTCGCCAGAAGATCCACCAGGGAAACGAACGGGAACAACAAGTTGTGTTTTATAGAAAGACTGTACAAATTGCGGCCATCATGGCTTGACAACTTGTCTTTTCCCAACACAACACAATGACAGCCTAATACAAACACATACAGCACAGGCTAACTCCTGCTTGGTAATGGATATTAACTGATAATATTCGCGTCTTATTCTATGAAAGATTCACTATCTATGCAATGTTTTGACTTTCTTTAAAGAGCCTCAGCACTGAGCAACGAACGTCTTGCAAGCAAGGGTCTGCTTTGGTCGGCGAGGCGTTCGTTGAACATATAAAAGTACGGCAAAGGGCGCAAAGCATGCCACAGCCAAGGCAAAGCTACCTGTAGCAAGGGAGCGGATGCTTTGACTATAGCTCATCCACTCCACTAGTAGCATGCTCCTGTGGCACAGCACGACGAAGCAAAATTTCGTGGTTTAAGGTAACCCG